CTGCCTCCTGGCATCAGTCCTCCTCGCTTGGGTTCCCATGTGAAAAGCCAGTTTTGCTGTTATCTCTGGAGTGTGCCCTGGGTTCTTTGTCTTGTGTGGAGGAGCAGGGGAAGGTCTCTTTGAGGCTGTGTTTACATAAGAACAGAAAATTGTTTTATGGAGAAGAATGGCGTGATCAGCAGTGTCCGGACCCATCTTGAGTTGTTTTGCTTTTGGTTTGAAGTGTCGGGTTACTTTCTCATGCTCATTTGTGGCAATTCTCCAAATTAGCGTCTCCGTGATTGGCTGCCAAGGAATCAGTTTCCTATTTATTTACGCAAACTGGCAATTCCCTGGAGACAGATGCCCGGGGAGGAAGGAAATGTTTCAGAGAGACTCTGACTTGCACGTTTGGTTTTCTTCTGCTTCCCTTATGCTGTTGGGTCAGATTGTCTTGTCACTGTCAAGTTCATGTGTTGTATACGAGAGGGTACCACCTCGGGGGTTTATTCTGGGCCACAGGTGGCGTGGTGCTGTCTTAGGGTAGAGTGGAAAAATACCGGTGTTGGGAGTCACATGCACCCCTTCTAGGCGAGACCTAGTGTGAGACCGTTTTCACTTGTGAGCCTCGTTGTCACATCGGTGCAGTGGAGATACGGCCTACTCCAATATTCCATGCATTATATACATGATATATGCAATGCATAATTATATTTCATATAAATTACATGTTATGTATAATATAATATGTATATACATGCATGCGTACGTAAGATATCTGGTTCGTGCGAGGCACTTATTAACTATTAGCACCTTTCCTCTCTTTTGTTAAGGACCTCCCTAAAGTTATCTTGCTTTCTATTCCTATCCTATCAAGCTTCTATTTCTATCAATCTATTATCTATCTATCTATCTTCTTTTTTTTAAAGTTTTCATTTATTTATTTGACAGAGAAAGACACAGTGAGAGAGGGAACACAAGCAGGGGGAGAGGCAGAGGGAGAAGCAAACTCCCCAATGAGCAGGGAGCCCGATGTGGGACTCCATTCCAGGACCCCGGGATCATGACCTGAGCCGAAGGCAGACGCTTAACGACTGAGCCACCCAGGCGCCCCTCTATCTATCTATCTATATCTATCTGTCATCTAATTATCTATCTACCATCTATCTATCTATCTATCTATCTATCAATCTATCTATCTATCTAATCATCTATCTGTTTCTTTCACATCAGAGGGCTCTGACTGTTATGAAGGAAGCAGAGGGAAGAGTTAATTATCAGTCAGGCTAGCACTTGGTTTTAGTCTTGGTCTTTCAACATTATAGGCCAACCAGAGCCCCATTTAAAAAAATGTCCCTTTGCTCTGTCGCTGTGTTGAAATGGTACTAAAGACAGTCTAAGACCAAGTACACACATTAAAAATCCCAGATAACCTTTATTTAAATATTTCACAAACAAGTTACAAGTTTCTTTGCAACTACATGGTAAATCAAATGTTAATTTACAGCTCAGGAACTGTAAACAATTCGGCAACTAGGGCCCAAAGGAACTGCATCCACAATAGAATGAAATATTTTAAGATGATAAACTTTTATCCCTTTTAAGTGTTTATGAAAAAAGATTTAAACTTTCTGAAAATTTCTGTCTTGGGGGGATAAATAATATTTACCACCAGAACAGTGTTGATGTGCGCATGACCACACAGACTCTTTTTCATGTAGCCTTCACTTTCAACTCTTTAATAATCTGAATCCATGTATACTGTAGATAACGAATGACTTTCTTGCTTTCTAAAGGAAAAGCTTTTGAAAAAGTAGCAGAAAATGGAAATTTTCGGCATATACTAACAGTGCTTCCATGTGCTACTTTCTCAAAGGCTTCACAGCTTCATGGTGAAATTTTTGTGGTCTTACTACACCTGTTGCTTCTCACCATATCCCTACCAGCCAGCTGACACTTGGAAGCGAAACAAAATGGTTCAAAGGCTTCTCAAGCTCAGCAACCCTCCAACAATTAATGTTATGATAGCGATGTTGCATGAGTGATAGGAAGAGGCTTTTCTCCTTACTGAATTTGATGAATATCTAAATTATTTCGGCTTAATTTAGACAGTTAAGGTTCTTATCTGAAGTCCTTGTTCGCATGTTCAATCTCACCATTTTCTTCTGTATCTACCTATTTTGCATATGCTTTTATACAAAGAAGGTCAAAATTACAGAATTTTTTCAGTAGTGGGCTAATCCATCAGCGATGGGAAATATGATAAAGGTTAACACATTTGACACGGCAAAAAACCGTTAGTTGCTTTAGACGAACAGTTATGAAAGCGTCTTACCACCAGACTATGAGAAGTTCTAAATTTCAACAGCCAGATAAGGAAAGAAGTTGGGATGCATCATCTTTGTGAAAAGTGTAGCCAGATCGCTGATGATGATGGAGATGGTGATGATTTTATTATTATTTCTTAGTGGTTAGACACAGAAGGTAGTTCATTCTTCCTCAGTGCTCACCTTTCTCTTGGTGTGATTTACCTGTCGATTCGTGCTTATGAACACTTCACACGAACAGGTTAAGGTGCAACTTTGAAAAACTCACAAGTGCTTGGAGATCCTTTAGTTTGTCTGTAGCTGAGCCCAGGGCAAGATCCTGAACGCCCCATGCTACTTCTCCTTAAGCTTTCCCTCCCCTTGGTTGGTTAGGCCGCGACTGGGTACTTGGGAGGACAAGAATGTACTTTCGCACACCTGAGATATCTAATTAATCTAGTAGGAGTCCCTCATGCACCTGTGCACAAGCCATGGGCGGGAAGGGAGGAAATCCTGGGAAATCCTGGAGAAGATGATCTTGTGCAGGAGACATTTCTGAAGTTTACTATGAATTGAGAATGGTGTTAACGGTTCTTGACAGCTCTTAGAACTAAGAAATAGTAGAAGGTCTGTTTACTCGGTTTGGATAGATAGTCCCGCCAATGGAGGCGTCAGACTAGAGTTTGTCTGGTTTGGCTGCATGATTGTGAGTGGCACCGCGACGTAATAGAAATAACAGAGCCCTGCAGCCAAACCATGTTGAGTTCTGGAGGTCACTTACCTTGGGCAAGCTATTTGATTTTCCTGACTGTCAGCTTTCTTTATCTGTAAGTTGGAGAAGATAAGAGTCCTTGCCTCATAGGGTTGTTGTAAGGGGTCAATGAGTTAACAGGTATACAGGATTTTGTACAGTGTGATGCAGAGTAAGCAATCAATACATGTAAACCATTATTATTATTATTAGCATTATTAATGCATTTTTTTTCTTGAATATGTCAATAGGTTTTTTATTAATGCATATTTTTTTTTTACCTTGTTCATACACCCCAGGAGAACTGTAGACTCTTTTCTTCAGAACCAACCCGGAGAGCTTATGTATGGGTCCAGCTGCACCAAACCCAGCATCGAACACAGCCTTGTTAATCATGTTGTACTTGCCACCTATTAAGACCGAGACCCAATGTATTTATTTTGGATGACATGCAATGTGACCTAATTCAAGAATTTGATGGTAAATGGTTATGCCATTTATTAGACTGTTTAGAATCACATTTTGGAAATCTGGGATGTTATCAAAATTTCTAAAAATGGTCCTTGAGAATCAAAGTCTTCTCTGATACCTACCACGAAATTTAACCAGATTTATTTTGCTATCCTGTTCCCCTTTGCAGGAGTTGGCGGAGAGTCACGGCAGGTACTTCTACCTGAAATGATGTTCATTTGGAGGAACTGGCAGTGTTGAAGGTAACTTCTTTCTAAATTAGAAAATGTTTGCATGTTTTTGCTAGAACAAGTTATCAGAAATAATTTCTCATATGTAAAATGGAAAGAAAAAGTAATTTTTAATCAACTCAGGTGGTTGATGTATTAATAAAATAGGGAAGATGGTGTGACTGTTCACTCAGTGGAAATAAAATCCTCAGTTTTGTGCTCAGCAATCCAGAAAAGCAACTTCTGGCTCTTATTACTTTTTTATTTTCAATAACTTGGACTAAAATAAAATGCATCAGTAATAATGAAATAATGCTTTGATTCTCCTTTTGCTTTCAATAAACAATGTAAATGTGTTTGAGCAAGTTAGAAAACATTCTGCCATTCAGGAAATGCCACCGCTTCGGCTTCAAAGAATTGGTCACTTTTTTTTTTTTTTTTTGAAAGGATTAGAAAGAACTACACAATAGCAGCATGTCTGTCCTGATGAGAACTCTGGAGACAGGGAGCATACTTAAGTAGGGGGAAATTAAGGCATATGTTACTTAATGAAGTCTGCACTTTATTCCTACTTTTCTGTGTTCTAAGCTAAGTTAGGCTGGTGGCTTGATTTGCAAAGTGCAGGAGGGCCTTCTGGCTTGAGGGACATGGAGTCTTGCACTTGTTGACCTGAGTGAATTGCCTACTTGACCCCTGGGTTTCTCCCTAGGGATGGCCCAGGTTCACGAAGGAGGCTGAGCTTTCCGACTGTTAGCTAGCCTATGGGCCAGGCTACTGAGTTTGTCTGAGCCTATAAAGCCGGAAGAGGGAATCGTGTAGAATGTGAGTGTGCAGGCTTGGACCCCCCACCCCCCACCCCCACGCCTCTGGGCCTGCTCGCTCCGTGCATGGGTGGAGAACCAGTCTGTCGTGGTCAGGATGCAACATCTCCTGACTGAGCGACTGGACTTGTTCAAGAGAGATAGACCCATGTTCTGGGACTGCAGACAGATGGTTGTGACCGTGTGCCATGCGGTCATCAACCTGAGGATGATCTTGCTCCTCTGTGAGTATAGCCACTGTCTTTGCAGCTGATTGCAAAATGCTCAAATTGTTCATTATGACGGACAAAACGGGTGCACGGTCCCAGCTGTGAGTGGGGGCCTCTGGCTTTACAGACTCCCTCAACTAACAGGAGATGTATGGGGAACCCCAGATGACGAGTCCAAACTGTGAACTTGCACTAAGGCAAGACCTCGCATCGGCAACGTGAGACACAACATAGAAATCAGAGAAGAGCTACTGTCCAGCCGTTTTAACCACCAATACCCATTTATTTTAATGGAAAAAAAAATCTGCATTCTATATGCTCCAAAAAGACTTACTATTGAAACAAATACAATATATGGAACTCTATCTGCATAATTTCACTACAATAAAAGACAACATATGACTCCTACTCCCTACAGAAGGCGAACTGAAATCACAGGTGCAAACAGAGATTGCATAAGAAAGCGTGGGTGCGCGCATGTGCGTGTGATTAAAACCTTTAGTAAGCAACTGCACTGAAATATGCTAGGACACTTACCTTACCCTAGTTCGTGGCCAGCTCTAATAAAAAGCCACAGGCTGTCACTAGTTTTATCTGATAGAAAAATTTGGTGTGAGCTTGGATGGTTCTTTACAGTTTATCAACAAGAAGATAATCTTAGTACAAGCACGAACTTTCCTCTTTGACATGCTCACAGAATAAAAATCAGTTACTTTTCATACATAATGAACACCTTTTATTTTCAGGTTTGCAAACGGTAGTCGAGTCACACAAAAGGGTACTTTTAAAACTACCTGTATTTACTCTATTTTATGCCTGTATATATGAAACAAACGTGTGTGTGCATGAAGGGATGTCTGTACGTGTGGGTATGTATGTGTACACACGTGGGGCCTGTCGGCCTCCTCCCACGCAGGGAGGGCCTCCACGATGACGTCTGCAAAGGTCCAGATACCGAGGAGAGACAGATTCTCTGCCATGATCTGCGTCCTCGTAAGAACCGCTGGGACTGGATTCAGGACACCTACAAGGGCGGAGGGATGCCCCCGAAAGAATATTTCAGCCCTTTTCTTGGCATTTGATGGTAAAATTTGCTGCTCTGCTCCTCACCACTTTTGCTCGGGATCATGGCATGGGGTGGCAGTGAAAATCGGTTGCAGTCCTTTACTAAAGAGAAAGGACTTGTGTCTCTGCTCTCCCTCTCTGCAGACCTGCCTGGCAGGTGGAGGCGGCACGGAGACCGCCCGGGGCGCTGGAGACGCGTCAGCTCTGTGGTCTGTACAGTGCCTCGCTCGATGCCGAGGCCCTGGAGGGGACAGCTGCGTAGCTTCTGTCCTTTCCTTGTGTAACCTCTCAAGGAAGAATGACATATCAAAACTAAGCTCCTTCTGTAGCGTTTCTCTCTATAAATACTGTGTATATACACATACAGATACTCACACATATACAAATACGAACCCACAGACAAAGCTGCATGTGTGGAGTGCTGACTAGCGACATGGCAACGCATCAGAAAATGTAGTCACTGTCTCTGCTCCCAGAAGGTCAAGTTAGATGCTGTGATCTTTAAACATTCAGGGAAATTCAGCAGATTCCATTAATTAAAGGAGAAATGGTGAAGTACAGACCCAGTGAAGTCGCAAAGAAAACAAAAATCTGAAACAATTGAGGCCTAGGTGTGAAGTTTGAGAGCTGTAAACTGCAATCTTCAGATTTGGATTTTTTTTTTTTTTTCCTTTTTCCTGTTGCTATGGAAACTTGGTAGTCAAGCTTCAAATATCAGGAGTTCTCACAGACCTGAATGGGAAAGATTCAGAGTTAAGTCAAGGAATAGCACAACTTGATTCAAAGCGTTTTAGCTAAGCACTAGATAAATGGCTGACGTGGTGTAATAAACACATTTATAAACACGGCACTACCTGGGGGAAATTTTTTTTTTCCTTTGGCATAACATTTGAAGAGAGCGTGAATAGTTCTGCCGGTTTATGTCTTAAACAGCTGGATTGGTCTGAAAACGCTCATGCCAAACACCTCATCTCAGACCCACAGGGTCGACTGCCTCTGTGACCCTGAACTCTGTCCCTTGCACAGTAGCCCAGAACTCGTCCATTTTAGGGACAGGTTGACTTGGTAGCTGAGAGACTGATTGTCATCCCAGATACTATTTTTTGGTCACAGGGAAGAGCAGGAGAGCTACTGGTCGTTCTTCAGACAGGGCGTATGAGTTTCCTCCAGCTGCTGTAACAAGTGGCCTCAAGCTGAGTGGCTTGAAATAACAAAATGTATTCTCTTAGCATTCTGGAGGCTGGAAGTCCAAAAATGAGCCCTATGGGGGCTAGAATCGAGGTGCTGACAGAGCTGTGTTCCTTTTGGGGGCTCCAGTGGGGAAGCCACTTCCGTGCCTCTTCCAGCTTCCGGAAGCCGCCTGTATTTGTCTCACGACCCCTTCCTCCACCTGGATGGCCTGGACTGTCTTGTCCAAGATTACTGAGGTCACCCAAACTGTGTTTATTTTCTAAGATGTACACCAGCCCGGGGTCTCCCCTCTGCCGGATAATAGCGCGAGCAGGAATAGCTCGGTTCTCTGATGCTTTTGCTTAATGATGATTATATCTTGGCTTTATACAGGGAAATGGTACCACAAAAACTTGTGTTATAATCAAAGAAATAAACATGTATAAAGGCCAACCTACTATGTAAGTGTAGTTCATTCTGGAATGAACCAATGGCTAGAATATAATGGATTAACTTTGTAAAGCTTGGGCCTTTTCTTTTAAAACCTGCTGAGGGGCGGATCAGTGTGACAAACTCACCCACCTACTCTGTACGCCTTTGGCTTTTAGAGGTTAATCCTCTCACTTATCTGCTTGGAAAATTTAAAGCAGCTTCTCTAAATCAGATAAAAAGTCTTTTTAATGTGACTCAAGTGTAAGCAACATGATACCGGTTAAGGCTAAAGGTGATTCCTTTGCAGTTAGGAGTCTCCAGGACGCATTTAATTTCTTTTTTCCAGCTGACTTTTTCACTGTCCTGGCCACCATTATCGTAAACTCTGGTTACTTGGGCTGCATTGCTGGTGTCCTGCCACATTCACCCATATCTGAAGAAAGACTTGAATATATTCAGTGGCATCATGAATTTTATTTAAAAATATCCTCCATCTGTTTTGTTTCTTAAATTCCACATATGAATGAAATCATGTAATACTTCTCTTTATCTGACTGACTTATTTTGCTTAGTGCCATCCTTTAGTTCCTTACCTTCCACTTCCATCCATGTCGTTGCAAATGGCAGGATTTCATTCTTTTTGATGGATGAGTAGTATTCCATTGTCTATATATACCACATCTTCTTTATCCATTTATCTGTCAATGGACATTTGGGCTCTTTCCATAATTTGACTATTGTGGACATTACTGCTATAAACATTGGGGTGCAGGTGTCCCTTTGGATCACTATGTTTGTACCATTTGGGTAAATACTTAATTGTGCAATTGCTGGGTCATATTTGTAACTTTTTGAGGAACCTCCATACTGTTTTCCAGAGTGGCTGCACCAGTTTGCATTCCCACCAACACTGTAAGAGGGCTCTCCTTTCTCCACATCCTCGCCAACATCTGTTGTTTTCTGAGTTGTTAATTTTAGCCATTCTGACTGGTGTGAGGGGTATTTCATTGTGGTTTTGATTTGTATTCCCAGTGATGAGTGATGTTGAGCATCTTTTCATGTGTCCGTTGGCCATCTGGATGTCTTCTTTGGAGAAATGTCTGTTCATGTCTTCTGCCCATTTCTTGACTGGATTTTTTGCTTTTTGGCTGTTGAGTTTGATAAGTTCTTTATAATTTTGGATGCTAGCCCTTTATCTGATAAGACATTTGCATATATCTTCTCCCATTCTATAGGTTGCCTTTTAGTTTTGCTGGCTGTTTCCTTGCTGTGCAAAAGCTTTTTATCTTGATGAAGTCCCAATAGTTCATTTTTGCTTTTGTTTCTCTTGCCTTTGGAGACATGTCTAAATCCTTAAGGAATTTCTGCAAATGTGCACTGATAGGAATGTAACCTCTGCCCATCTGTAAATTATACCAGCATTTCTAAATATGTCACCCAAAAAGTGATTCGGGGAAGTGCCAAAAAGTGAATCTTCATCTCAGACCTCTCCTCTCCCAGCATTGATCCATACCCTCAAGGCTACTTGGCCACAGTTCTCTTTGAGTCATGACAGCCTCTGAAGGGCTACTCACAATTCGGGCTTTGGTTTCATGACCGCACTGCCTCCCCCAACCTTGAGAACCCACATCCTCCCTAGGAGGTAACCACGTTACATCAAGACCCACACATCTCCCCTCATCTCTTCTCTGACCCCCAGCCCAATGTTCCTGATCAGGACATGGTTTTCTAGTAGAAAGCTGAAGCAGATATAAACAGAGAGCAGATGCTTGGCAGAACCTGTCAGGCTCCTCTCCCTGGTTCCCCAAGCATACCTTAGGTTCTACATCACTGCCATGGAACTGGGACCTTTCCTAAATTCATAATAGCTGATGTCAAAACATTTCCTCTCAAAAGCATGGGCAGTGCCCCACAAGGCCATGCACATGGATATTCATGGCAGCATTATTCATACAATCCCCAAACTGGAAAACAACTCAAATATCCATCAACCGGTGAGTACATTTTTTAAAATGTGGTATATCCATACAGTGAAATACTACTCAATAATAAAAAAAACTACTGATAGGGGTGCCTGGGTGGCTCAGTCATTAAGCGTCTGCCTTTGGCTCAGGTCATGATCCTGGGATCGAGCCCCTCATTGGGCTCCCTGCTTGGCGGGAAGCCTGCTTCTCCTTCACCCCCTCCCCCTGCTTGTGTTCTCTCTCTCACTGTGTCTCTCTCTGTCAAATAAATAAATAAAATCTTTAAAAAAACTGTATATATAAAAAAGTAAAAACATAAATCTACTGATACATGCCTCAACATGAATGAACCTCGAAAGCATTATGCTAAGTGATAGACATCCGATGAAAAGGACTACATATTTTATGATGCCATTCAAATCAAATGTCCAGGCAAGGAATAACTATAGACAGAAAGATCAGAAATTGCCCAGGGCTGGGATAGGGGCAAGGTCTGATTGTAAAGGGGCACAAGGTAACTTTATACAGTAATGGAAATGTCTTAAAACTAGATTCTGGTGTTATAGAATGCTATACATTTACCAGAATCAGTATAGTAGATAAATTAATGAGAGCAGGTAAATTTTATGTTATGTAAATTATAGCTCAATAAAGCTGCTAAAAAACATTTTCCAGTGTGGTGTTAATAACTTAAAATAATAATTTTGGTCACTGAGGAAAAAAAATTGACTGAATAAAACCCACTAAATTAAAAAAGTCTCTAGTCCCTGTTTAAGTCAGTTCAGACTGTAACATAAGAGATCCTACCTCTGAGGGCTATTGACTTGATTACATGAGATAGTCTATATAATTTACATAAAGCTCTTAGCTTTGCGTGTGTGTGGCACTTAGAAGCCCTAGGAGGTCAACTGTCATTATCCATGCAGTTGCACTCCTTCAAGGGGCCATAGCTCCTGTGTAAAGCACAACTCAGCGCCATCTGCAGGCAGAGGGCAGCCTGCTCCACCCGGGTTGGGTGCTTCCCAGGCCCTGTCCCTGCCCAGAACACATTTCACAATAAAAAGGAACAAAATATTGATACACTCAACGACATGGACGGTATGATTCCATGTATAGAAAATTCTAGAAAGGCAAGCAAGTGATCAGACAAGGCAGACCAATGAGGGTCTGGATTCAGGGGAGGGGATCAATAGCGAAGGCACACAAGGAAACTGTACATTGGTATTTGGTGTGGCTACACAATTGTGTACATTTACCAAAACGCATCCAACGGTACCCTTAGAAATGGGTGAATTCTATGTCCAAATAATACCTTCACAAAAAGCATTAGAATTAAAAGTATTTTCAGCGGCTGTTTTGCTCATCTTGGTCACGTCTTTAAACTTTTTCATTGTGATTGAGGTTACAATTCAATTCTCCCTCCTCGCCAATGTAGAGACATTTAATTTTGGTACTTGTTAATATGGTTCACCTGACACGTCTTTTTATGTTCTTGATATTGCTGATTAATTAAGCCTAAAACAATGTTCAAAAAGGTTTCAGGATGATATTCTTTCCTGGAGCTGCCTGAGTCACACCACACAGAGCCCTACAAACCCCCAGCCCCGACACAGCCTAAGAGAGATACCAGCCCAGGGGCACCTGGGTGGCTCAGTTGGTTAAGCGACTGCCTTCGGCTCAGGTCATGATCCTGGAGTCCCGGGAT